ACCTCCTCACGCGGAACAAGCACGGCAACCCCGTGGAAGCGGAGTCCATCCGCACCGCGCCAGTCACAAGCCTTCCGCTTCAGTACGGCTTGAACCTGCTGCAGGCAGCCGCCGATGCGGAACCCTGGCCTGTAGAGCCGCAGCGCTGGACCGCACAACCCAAGTGGAGAAACACGCAGCAAAAGCAAGCGGTCAGACACTGTCCGTTCTGGACGCTCTACGGCTCCCGAGGACGAGATCCGCGGGTTCACGAGCTGTCGGCCTACGAGTTCGCCGTGCACTTCGAAGTCAAGAAAGCCACCCATCCCTACACCATCCACTTGAACGACGACGGGGAGCAGCGGCCGCCGACCCGCCACGAAGCTGAATTGACGGACACGGGCAAGGAGAAAGTGCGCTGGCATCGCTACCGCGCCAAGCTCTTGCCGGGCGCCGATTATCGCATTCGGGAGCCGCGCCCCGGCGAGGAGTGGATCCCCTTCGGCGAACCCGAGCTCGCCCAGGCTTTCAAGCACAGCTGGGTCATGGTGCCGCGCAAGCGACCATACGTGCCGGTGCTCTTCGGTGCGCAGGGCAGCAACCAAACTGCGGAAGACCAGGCCATGAAGCTCCTTCTGCTCTTTCGCCCTTGGGTGAATGATCGCCGAGATGCCCAGGACGACCTCGTGGCCTTCGTCGGAGACCTGTCTGCTCGCGACCAGGGGGCTACGGACTGGCTCCAGGCCGCGCGGCTCTGGCTGGGCCGGCGCGGCTTCCCCACAGAGTCCGTGAAGCGCTACGCCGCCCAGTTCTGCTTCGTCCACTGCCTGCCGCGGGAGCTCCGGCCCGGCGCGGAGCTGGAGGCCAACAGCGACAACGAAGACTTGGAGGACGTGCCCTGCTTCTTCGACCAGGACCGGGCAAGCCCAGGAATTCAAGCATGTTTGCAACGAGCATTGCCGTTGAATTTGACTTTAGGTTCTAAGCTTGCATCGGTGCCTGCAGGACGACATCATGCTGGCGATGGAAACGCACGTTCGAGGGGAACCTGGCAACGCCGGCAACGAAGTGCAGACGCACGCCGACCGCACCAAGAAGATGTTCGCGCTGTCGCAAGCCATTTGGCTGGAGGGAGACAATGGAGGTGGACCCGACCCGGAGGCCAGCAACAGGTTCCGCGAGCTGTCCGCCAAAGAGCCCGTGACGGACCATCAGCAGGTGAGACAAGCCGCCATCGATTCGCGGGTCAAGGGCGAGAAAGGACAGGATAGACGAACTACACGACGCAGGGACCGGCGAAGCCCGGAGGTGCAGGCCCAGGAGCCCGTGACCGCCGCCAAGCTCCTGGACTGGCTCCACAGCGACCGTGTGCGCGGGGCCGTGAATGCCAAGCAGCACGAGTTCCTGGAACTCGTCGTGGACAGAGTCATGGTGGAGCTGAACCTCATCAAGCCCGAGGAGTCCATCCGGAAGACCTCGGAGCCTTTGGTCTGGTTGCTCCACGGGCCGCCCGGCGTCGGCAAGTCCCACATCCTGCAATTCCTCCGCGAGCTCTTCGAAGACTTGCTCCAGTACACCCAGGGCCACGAGTACGAGGTGGTGGCGCTCCAGGCAGTGAACGCGGCGGACGTCCGAGGCCAGAACATACACAGGGCCTACGGCTTCAACAAGAATGGGCAGCCGACCGAGGGAGACAACGCTATCGTTCAGGGCATCCGCTTCAGGAGGTGGGTGATCGTGGACGAGATCAGCATGGTCAGCGCGAAGATTTTGGCCCGCATGGAGCAGCGGCAGCGGGAGAACAAGAGCAGCAAGGACGAGTTCAAGCTGGACGGTCGCGGGCATGCAAGACCTTTCGGGGGCGTCAACATGATCTTCATGGGCGACTTCTTCCAGCTCCCACCGCCGGAGGGCGGCTTCATTGCGGACGTTCCCCACAGCCTGAAGTCTGCCACCGGGGTCGACAAGAGCCCGGACCCTCTCGTCGAGGCCGGTCGCGACCTTTTCTGGCGCGGAGCGGTCCAAGGCGTCACCGAGCTGACGGAGACTCGACGGTGCTCCGACGAGTGGTGGAACGAGGTGGTGGAGCAATTGCGACAGGGCCGCCTGTCGGACGAGAACCACAAGTACTTGCACGGCATTCCCGTGGAAGGCTGCACCCTGTCGGAAGCAGAAAGGCAGTCGCGCCGCAGGGTCATCGTCTCCGATGCGGATCCGCGGCTGCAGGAGGCCAGGTTCCGGAAGGCGGTGGTCATCGTGGCCAACAACGATGCTCGCTACCAGATCAACAAAGACAAGGCCAGAGCCTACAGCAAGGAGTCCGGAGCTCCTCTCAGGTGGTCCGTGGCCAAGGACGTGGCGGAGGCCAAAGCTCTTCAAGCCGAGGACTGCAGCAAGGAGGCCAAAAGGAAGTGGCTCCAGTACCACGACCGACACACGGGAGATCTGTGCGGCCTGCTTCCCCTCGCCATCGGCATGCCGGTCG